GGAGTCTGCTTCTCCCTCTGACCCTCCCCCCTCTCATGTGCTTTCTCTCTCATTCTCTCTCTCTCTCAAATAAATAAAATCTTTAAAAAAAAAAAAGAAAAAAATTCACAATATTAATTTGAAAACATAATCAATATGTAATTAAAATGGCATTTTAAAAAGAAAATTTAAAAAGCAACAACTCTACTGAAAGCTTACTATAATGATTAACTGGTTTACATCAAATACAGCACCTTCTGAGTCAATCATGTTCAATAGTTCTACTTTAGTCTAAAAATGAATTTATTTCCGGTGACAACTAAGAGGTCTTAGTTGATAATAGACTTACAATAAAGCTTAGAGCATAGAAAGGAATGACATTTTAATGATTTACCTTTTAAGAGTAAATGTATTCAGAAATTTGAGTAATGTGAGACTATCCCATAAATCTATGGGGATCATTTAATAATCCTTTGTAAAACTTTAACCCTACTTAATCCCGTGCTTCTTGGCAACAACTTTTAAAATATGAATTCAGGGACAAATTAAATAAATTCAAAACATATTATAAAAGGCAAGTATTTTTTCCTCTCTCACTAACCTTGTATACACTATTACATATCTAAGTGGGTGCAGTAACTGCTTAGGACTCTAAGCGCCGCTGTTCACCTATTTGGAGATAAATTTAACCAAATGCCATCTGGTTACTAAAGGCTCAGATCTCGCCGCAGATCCCACAAACCAACTGCAGGGCTGCAGCGAAATTCTGTCCCTACATCTGAGACACTCCAGTTTTCTATAAGATGATCTCCATAGCTGCAGCAAAAAGGTAAACAAGACACATATGCCCAATGAGGATTCTGAATGGATTCAGTAGTGAAAGAACAATGGCCGCTCCAAAGAATTACCAGAGACGCGGCGAGCTGGTCCTGCTGTGCGCGCTCATGGGCACGCTGTGGGAAATCGGGAGAGGACAGATCCATTATTCGGTGCCAGAAGAGAGCGACAAAGGATCCTTCGTGGGTAACATCTCCAAGGACCTGAATCTGGAGTCACAAGAGCTGGTGAAGCACGGAGTCCGCATTGTCTCCAGAGGTAGGACGCAGCTTTTTGCTCTGAACCGGAAAACTGGCGGCTTGCTCACCGCGGGCAGGATAGACCGGGAGGAGCTTTGTGCTCAGAGCGTGCAGTGTCTAGTAAATATCAACATCCTGATTGAGGGCAGAGGAAAACTTTTTGGGATAGAAATAGAAATCACTGATATCAATGATAATAACCCAAAATTCCAGGTCGAAAATCTGGAAATGAAAATTAATGAAATCGCTGCGCCTGGAACACGTTATCCGCTCCCAGAGGCTGTTGACCTGGACGTGGGCATGAATTCCTTGCAGAGCTACCAGCTCAGCCCCAATCACCACTTCTCCCTGGACGTACAAACTGGAGGCGACGGAACTCTACACCCAGAGCTGGTGCTGGAGAAGGCCCTGGACCGCGAGGAAGAGGCTGCGCACCACCTGGTCCTCATTGCCTCGGACGGCGGTGACCCGCGTCGCTCCAGCACAGTGCACATCCACGTGACAGTGCTGGATACAAACGACAATGCCCCGGTTTTTGCTCTACCGATTTACCAAGTGAAAGTCCCAGAGAACGTGCCCCCGGGCACCCGGCTGCTTACTGTGAGCGCTAGCGACCGGGATGAGGGAGCCAACGGAGAAGTAGCCTATAGATTCTGGAAAATTAGTGAAAAGCAGTCTCCGCTATTCCAGCTGAATGAAAATACTGGGGAAATATCAACGGCAGAGAGTCTAGACTATGAAGAATGTGCATTTTATGAAATGGAAATACAAGCTGAAGATGTGGGGGCACTTTTGGGGAGGACCAAAGTGCTCATTTCAGTGGAAGATGTGAATGACAATAGACCGGAAGTGATCATTACATCTCTGTTTAGCCCAGTCTTGGAAAATACTCTTCCTGGAACAGTAATTGCCTTCTTGAATGTGCATGACCGAGACTCCGGGAAGAATGGTCAAGTTGTCTGTAACACACCTCATAATTTACCTTTTCAATTGGAAAAATCAATAGATAATTATTATAGATTGGTGACATGGAAATATCTGGACCGAGAAAAGATCTCTGTGTACAATATCACAGTGATGGCCTCAGATCTAGGGGCTCCTTCTCTATCTACTGAAACTTATATCACCCTGTATGTGGCGGATATCAATGACAATCCCCCCACTTTCCCTCAAGTCTCCTATTCAGCCTATATCCCAGAGAACAACGCCAGAGGTGCCTCCATCTTCACTGTGATGGCTCATGACCCCGACAGTGGCAAAAACGCCCAGGTGACTTACTCTGTGACTGAGGACATCATCATGGGAAGCCCTCTCTCCTCCTATGTTTCCATCAACTCAGACACTGGCGTCCTATATGCGCTGTGTTCCTTTGACTATGAGCATATACGAGACTTGCAGTTACTGGTGACAGCCAGCGATGGCGGGGACCCTCCACTCAGCAGCAACGTGTCACTGAGCTTGTTTGTGCTGGACCAGAATGACAATGCGCCTGAAATCCTGTACCCCGCCCTCCCCACCGATGGTTCCACAGGTGTGGAGCTGGCGCCCCGCTCTGCAGAGCCCGGCTACCTGGTCACCAAGGTGGTGGCAGTGGACAGAGACTCGGGCCAGAACGCCTGGCTGTCCTACCGCCTGCTCAAGGCGAGCGAGCCAGGGCTCTTCGCGGTGGGGCTGCACACGGGCGA